CCTTATCCTTTTTATATTTTGGTGGATTCTGTTTGACAGAATTTTGTGAAGACTTTTTTACATCTCTGTTTTTCTAGGACATCGGATTTTAGTTTTCTTTTCTTTGTGTGATGTCTTTGGTTTTGGTTTACAGGTTAATGCTGGTCTCACAAAACAAGTTGTAACGTATCTCTTCCTTTTCAGTTTTATGGAAGAGTTTGTGTACAGTTGAATTTCTTCCTTTCTTAAATGTTTTGTTGAATTCACCAGTAAAGCCATCTGAGCCCAGCATGTTCTCTGTAGGTTTTTAACAGTTACACATTCATTTCCAGGTTATCTATTTTTTTCTTGAGTGGATTTCAGTAGTTTGTCTCTCAAGGAATTTGTTCATTTTATCTAAGTTATCAAGATGGGGTGGGGGGAAAGAAATACTGATATGAGAGAAAAATTTGTTGGTTGTCTTCCATATGCACCCTGACCAGGGATCAAGCCCACAACCTAGGTGTGTGCCCTTACCAGGAATCAAACTCAATCTTTTGGTGTCTGGGACAATGCTCCAAATAACTGAGCCACACCAGCCAGGGCCCAGGCTTCTTTTGATGAGTATTGGCATGGTTTGTCTTTTTTTGTCCTTTACATTTTTAAAACAGCTATATTTTAACAGCTTTACTTATTTCAATACTTCACATACCACACAGTTCTCTTATTTTAAGTATACAACTCAGTGGCCTTTGGTGCATTCACAGAGTTGTGCAGCGGTCACCACAACCCATGTTAGATACCCTGCATCCCTCCCAACTCCAACCTCCCAACTCCATCTCTAGCTCAGGGCAACCACTAATCCATTTTGTCTCCATAGATGTGCCTGTTTTGGACATTTTATGTATAATAAATGGTATTATACAATAATAAATGGTCCTTCATGACTGTCTTTTTTTACTTAGAATGTTTTCAAAGTTCATGTATGCTGTATCATGTATTGGTGCTTCATTGCTTTTAATTACCAATTAGTACTCCATTTGATGGGTAGACATTTTATTTATCCATTCATCAGTTGATGGACATTTTGGATTGTTTCTACTTTTTGGCTATTATAAACATTTTTGTACAGTAAGTTTTTGTGTGGCTGTATATTTTTATTTCTCTTAGATCTGTGCCTAGGAGTGGAATTGCAGGATTATCTGGTCACTGTATGTTTAACTTTGTGAGGTACTTTTATTCTGTTTTCCACAGCAGCTTCACCCATGTATGGATTCCAGTTTTTCCAAATCTTCACCACCACTTACCTTCCATTTAAAAAAAATTATGGCCATCCTTGTGAGTATGAGGTGCTATCTCATTGTGGTTTTGACTTGCATTTCCCTAATGTCTACTAATATTGAACATCTTTTCATGTACTTTTTGCCATTTGTTTATATTTTTTTAGAAATATCTATTCAAGTTCTTGTCCCTTTTTTAATTGGATTGTTTATTCTTTCATCATTGAATTTTAGGAGTTCTTTATATGTTCTAGAAAGTAGACCCTTATCAGCTATAAGATTTAAAATAGTTTCTTCTAATGTGTGAATTATATTTTCACTTATAGTGTCCTCTGATACACAGAGTTTAAAAATTTTGAAGTCCAATTTATCTGTTTTTTTTTCATTGCTCATGCTTTTAGTGTCATGTGTAATAGCCCATTGCTCACACGGTCATGAAGATTTACCTGTTTTCTTCTGAGCATTGTTTTAGATCTCACATTTAGATCTTTGATCCATTTTAGTTAACTTTTGTATATGACATATGTGATCCAATTTCATTATTTTGCACGTGGATTTCCATTTGTCTCAGCAGCATTTGTTGAAAAATTCTTTCATCATTTAATTATCTTTGTGCCCTTTTCAAAATCAATTGATCACATACGTGAGGATTTATTTCTGGACTCTTTTGTTCCATTGGTCTCTATTGTCTATTCTTAATGCCAGTTCCACTCTGTTTTGATCACTGGAGCCTCATATAAGTTTCAAAGTCGAGAATTTCAGGCCTCTTACTTTGTTCTTTTCAAGTTTTCTTTTAGCTATTCATATTCCATATGGATTTCTATTTGTGCAAAAAAAGTGCCATTGGAATTTAGGTAGGGGTTGCACTGAATCTCCAGTTAATTGTCTTTTAAAGGGATTTAAATAATAAGAGAAAAACAAGTCTTATATTTACTCAATATAGTTACCATTTCTGGTCCTGCTTCCTCCTCCTCATAAATGTACATTTTCACCTGATATATATATATATATATATATATATATATATATATATATATATATATGTTTGGTTTTGCCCAAGAATTTTATTAACATCTTGTAATGCAGGTCTGCGGGTGATAAAAATTTTTTAGCTTTTTTATGTTTGAAGTCTTTATTTCACCTCTTTTGTAAAAGCAGTTTTCACTGCATGTAGCACTCTCGTTAATTGGCTTTTTGTTTTGTGTTTTCCAAGAGGTTGCTCTACTATCTCTAGGCTTATCAGAGAAACGTGCTGTAGTTCTGTTTGCTTCTTTATAAGGAATATTCTTTTTCCTGGGGCCGAGTTTAGTATTTTCTCTGCATCCCTTGTTTTAAACAGTTTTGTGGTATGGCTTGGTGCAGTTTTCTTTATATTTCTTGTCTTTGGGGTTGATGAGATGCTAGTGTTTGTGGATTTTATAGTTTTCATCAAATTGGGAAATTTTTCAGCCATTATTTCTTCAAGTATTTTTCTATCTTCACCCCTGCCCTGGGACTCTAGTTACCTGTGCATTAGTCTTCTTGAAATCCCACAGCTCACTCATGTTGTTTGGTATTTTCATCTTTTTTCTGAGTGTTTCATTTTGGGTAGCCTTTTTTTTACTATTTCTTCAGTTTTTTTTTTTTTTTTTTTATCTTTTCTTTTGTACCATGTATTCTGCTGTTAATCCCATCCAGTGCCCTTTTCATCTTACATGTCCCTCCCTCTTCTATACCTCTGCCTCCTGACCTTGTGCAGTCATTCCTGGCTAGTGTCCCTATCTGTTACTTTGTCTCAGGTACCCACATCCCTGCTGGGCCATTCCCTGCCCCCTTGGTGGGCTGTGTGACCTGTGATGGAATACTGGATTTTGACTGGGAGATGGTGCTGTTATTCCTGTGTGTATTCTCATACTTCATTGTGGGATATAACTCCCGGATCCTTTCAGGTTTTGCCCTTAAGTTTTGTTGGTTAGGACCAGAGAGGATTTACCTGGCTCTATTTTGGCCAGGGCTTATTGGAGTGATGGGATGATTCCTTCTGTCCTGCTGGTGGCTTTTTCTTACTCAGGCTTGCACAGACCATTCCCTGTGAAGACTCAGGGCTCCTCTGTCTGCAGGTCTGCTGCCATCACCGCCTGTCTACCTTCTTTCAGCACTGCCTCATCCTCTTAGACTAGCTCACTACCTTGTACTCTTTCTGTTCCATGGCTGGAGTTCCTTCTGAGAGGGGATGGGGTTGACCTGGAGCTTATATGTGTCCTGCCTCTCACTACCTGATGTCCAGTGACTTGAAAACCAGTGCTCAATCACATCAACTTCCTAGTTATTTTTAGTGTTTCCACATAGGACGTAGATCAGTCCCTGCCATGGCTTTGTGTTGATGGCAGGTGGGGGGAAGGGTGCAAGTCTTTCATATTTATAGTCTTTGGAAAGCTTCCTGGGTGCACAGGCTGTCTTCAGCAGGCCTGGACTCGTGTGTGTGTGTGTGTGTGTGTGTGTGTGTGTGTGTGTGCGTGTGTGCGTGCATTGCAGCATCGAGCCATTCCACTTCTGGACAGCCTCTGAGCGTGACTCAGTGCCTCATGGGATGTCTGCATTTTTGGCTTAAGGTTCGTGAGCGTGTTCTGCTCTGTCCACCCAGTTAGGCTTGTCTGGAGGTTTGGAAAGACACCATGAGCTTGATGCTTTCCTGCCCTCCTGGGAGCCTGGCAGGTTCTGGTGTGCAGCTGGGAGTCAGGTAGCCACCCAGGATGGGGCAGGTCCTGCATAGACACAATTTGTGCTCTGGGTTTTCCCTGACCTGGATGGAGGAGGAGGACAGCAACAGAAATCACAGGGTTGAGCTTACTTGGTTCGAAAATAAACTGAACGGCTGTGTCAGTGTCTGGGGGCAGATGAGCAAGACCCGCCAATGGGAGGGCAAGCTGTTAACCTAACCAGGCCCTGCTTTATTTAGGCAGTCCCCCAACTGCAGAGAAACAAGTCATTTTCTTGTGTTAGAAACACTCCTGCCTAGTAACATCTTATACATAGCTTTGCACATTTTCCCAAGTGTTTTCTTAGATTAAATTCCTAGGCTTATATTAATGTACTGTATTAGTCTGGTTGTATTGGCATATTAGCCTAGACACTCATAGGTAAGTGAGTGAAAATGTTCCTATTTCTGTCAAGAAATAAAGGCATCAGTTTTCTTGCTGTCCAGGAGCCCTGTCAAGGACAGGGTCTCTCTCAGATTTGCATGGGGCAGCCAGTGGGAAGCACACACTGAAGAGGACACACAAAATTGGTCTGTGGGGATCCTGTCTTGGTTGCTGGGATGTACAGGGCGGGGAGAAGGAGAAGCAGAGGTCCTTCCTGGGGGCCTGGCTCCTTGCTTCGGGGACAAGACATGATGGGAAGCCCCCGCTGGTCCAGGACTCTTGCCTTGTTGCTCTTTCCCATGGGGGCTTCTCCCTGTGCCCTTTTGCCTCTCAAAACCCAAAGCCCTCCTGGGTCCAGGGGTGACGGCTTGCTCTCTCCTGTCTGGCAGTTTTAGCTCCACACCCAGGTCCTGGGAGGGCAGGTGGAGTCTCTTGAATCAGGCACAAGTAGTGGCTTGGCAGCAGGCTCTGAGAGTCCTGGTTCAAACTGTGGTTCCCTCCCTCATGCAGGCCTGGGCTCCTTTGGGCATAGGTGTCACTAGGATGAGTGGACAGATCTGGAATCAGCTGCCCCCAGGTCCAGCTCTGTGCACACTTGGAAGAGTGCTGCTTGGCCCACTCTCTTGGTGTCTGTTCTCAGGCGTTTGGACAGGTGCATACGAACCACAGGAAGGTGGCTGCGGATGGTGAAAGCCGGGAGGAGAGTCTGATCCAGGAGTCGGCCTCCAAGGAGCAGTATTACATGCGCAAGGTGCTGGAGCTGCAGACGGAGCTGAAGCAGTTGCGCAACATGCTTACCAATGCACAGTCGGAGAGTGAGCGTCTAGCCTCTGTGGCACAGGAGCTGAAGGAGGTACTTCGGGCTGGGAAGGCTGCCCTATGGGTGAGGAGACAGTTCCCATGTGCCTGTGGAGGGTGGTGGTGTGGGGGCCACACCACTACCCATTCCACCTGCCCAGCTTCAGCCTCACCTCGTCCAGGGTCTGGTAATTGTCCTGGCTCTAGGTGTGAGTTGGTATGCATCCTGGGTCTCAAGGGAAGCTCATTCCTCTGGTAGAAAGTGGGACTATAGCCTCCATCTGCCAGCTCCTGACAGAGAAATCAGAAGGGGTTGCTGCAGACAACACCCAGGATCAGCCTGGCTCCTGACAGGGACCTAGCTATGAGAGGCCTGACTAAGTGGAGAACAGAGGGAAGTAGCTAGTGACCTCTCAGGGAGGTGGAAAGATGGGTCACTGACCCCAAAACAGAATTGGACAGGGATGGTGGGTGGAGCTAGAAGTCTTTATGAGCTGCAGTCCTAGCCATGGTTTGGGGGCTCCTGGTCCTCAGAGTCCCAGGGTTCTTAGGAAGGCAAAAGTCCATCTTTTGAGCCTCAAGAGAGGCACACCCTCTGTTCTGAGAGGAGGGCAGTGACAGGTGACCAGACAGGCAGGTGGTTCTGAGTGCTGATCAGCTCTGATGTCCACATCTCAAACATGATGGTCCCAGAGGGCTGGGAGGGGACACTGGCAAAGTTTGGGACAGAGTCCAGGGACTAGCAGTAGCAAGAGAGCAGTCACCCTTCCTGCTTGGGTTCATTTGGGGCAGAGATCATTGAAGCCTGTGGGCCTGGGAGGATTTTGGCTTGGATCTGAGGGTGGACTGAACTTCAAGGCCTACAGCCAGAATATGTGATCTCATTTCCTCTCACAGGATCACCCTGTGATCAGGATGGGGAGGAGAGCCTGTCAAAGTGAGGAGTTGACCTCCTCACTGCCCAGCCCAGGTTCATTCTGCACATACCTTCTCCCAGAAGGGCCTATCCTGGGCTGTGAGGAGAGTGCTGGGACCTGCTGACTCCTGGTTGTGCGTGCCAGGAAGTGAGCTCAACTAGTCCCACAGGATGTTAAAGAACAGGTCTGGTGGGGCGGGGATCCTTGCTGTTCCTGTTAGTGCTTCAGGAGAAAGTCTGCCATTCCTCATGCTTCCTCAGCTACCTCTTTCTCCCAAGGCAGAGCTTGCACCCCTGAAGTCCCTGTGAGGCAGGCCATGTGGAGCCTTCCTGGGTTTCCTGGTTAGGGAGGAGGTTCCCTACTGTCACCAGCTTCAACCAGATCCCTGGTCAACCCCCTCGGTTGCTGGCTGCATTTGTACCTCACTCCCATCCCTCTTCCCCTCCCTCTCCTGTGGCTCTTCCACCAGTCCTGCCCTGCTGTTTCTGTCCTGGCTGCCAAGCCAAGCTCCTCTGTAGCCTCTGGCATGGCTGTGTCTTTCATGCACGGGCATGCATAAGTCTCATGCCCAAGGCTCATACCTGGCTGAGGGCCCTGGACCATTAGGACATGATACCAAGCACTGTCCCCAATGAATACCAGCTTGGCTGCCTCAGGATAACCTAGCTGCACAAGCCTTTCAAGGTTACCCCCATGAGATGCCCCTTTCACAAGGAGTGTATCTGTGTCCCAATGCCCAGTCCTGACCTGTCACATTCAGTGACTGACGAGCCAGCCTGTTCATCCTCCTTGTACAACTAACTTAGAAGTTTGTACCCCCATGCCCAGCTCACCACATGGCCCTCTAGCCTTGGGTCCTAACCTCTATACTGTATGTTGTCTGGCCAGGTAGCTTCTGTCCTGGGATGTGGCCCTGAGATCCATTTTGTAGGTGGGGAAGTAGAGTCCCAGGAAGCCAGGCATGTCTGCAACTGGCTGGAAGCTGAGTCAGGGCCTATTCCTATGCTGGGGGCTACCGTTGAGAAATAGGCCTGCTGGTTGTAGAGGGGTCAGCCTCATCTGCCAAGGCGGGCACCCGGGTGATCTTGCTGTCCAGCTATATCCTGCTTTTCCTGTTCTAATGGACCCTTCATGTGTCAGGCCCTGTGCAGCCCCCACAGTGAGTGATAGGGATGCCCCAGTAGCAGTCCCCTCCAATCCAGGCCAGGAGCCAGGAGCCAGGAAAGAACTTATTTCCTTCTGTGGTGACAGCTGGGTTTCCAGGACTAGCTGGAGGGAAGCTGGGCATTTGGTCACAAGGTTGAGGTATCTGGGAGGTCAAGAGCAGCAGCATCAGGCACCAGGTAAGCTCTGCAGCATGGAGTGGACACCCATGTCCAGAACCAGGTGATGGGATTAGGGGGCTTGTCATGAAAGTGGACAGTCTGGGGGCAAGAGGGGGAGCCCTGGGTATGGAGGAAGCAGCACAGGTGGGGCCCAGCAGGGGTGGAGGAGCCATGGGGCTCTGATGGTTCTGAGGGAACAAACCCCATGAAGAAGCACACATTTCTCCAGGGAGCAGGGCTGGGCCTGAGTCACTAAGGTGTGACATCTAGCAACGTCTCACCAGGAGATCAGGGGAGTTGGTGAGGGAGGATCTGCAGGGGGCAGGGTGGACGCCCCTGCTTGGGCAGCCTACACAAGGTAAGCTCATTCCACTCTCAGCCTCTAGAATTACACATGAAAAACACTCATCTTCCCAGACACCCAGGAAGAGGTGCCCCTAGCCCCAGGCAGACACACCTGCTGCCTCCATCCTGCTCCCCATTCAGAGCCTGGTCTTTGCCAGGCAGCTGCAGCCATGGTCACTGGGACGTCCTAGGAGCTGAATTCTAGTTTATTACATTACTTAATTTTTATGAAGCACAACTGGTCATGCATGCCTTGTGGCTGCAGTGTGTACAGCAGAGCTATCAGACCTTCCATATCCCTGCAGAACCACATTCCTTGGCCTGTCCCAGGATTCTCTGGTCAGACTGGCTTCAGTGTCTGCTTCAGGATCACAAGTGCAGCCTGAGTGGTCATTCATCATCTAGTGGAACCTGTTGGAAGAATGGTAGCAGGAGGTGTGGCTGGGGACCCAGGCCTATGGGGCCACGAGGAGATAGCCCTCACCTGTGGAATCACAGCCCCAGCCCTGCATCACACTGCCTTGTCTGTCTAGCTTGCATGGTCATCATGGGCACCGGTGTGAGGCTGGTCCCCAGGTTCCCTTCTCTGATGCTCCCTCCTGTTCCTTGTGTCTTTGTTCCCCCCAAGTCCCTACCTTATCTGTCCCAAGGCCTAGCATGCCACTGTGGTTCTCAGTCCCTCCTGGGGTGGACAGGGAGAGTGGGTGGAGGTCTGGCCAGAGGACAAAGGCCTGGCTTGGTCTGGATCCTGCTCTTATGATCTGCTGGTGCATTCCCTAAAACCACTTCTCTTACGGTTCCAGGATGGCCATTCTCTCTGGTGTGTGTCCTCTCTGCACATTCTTCCATGGGCCTTTGCATGGTTTCCTCATTGAAGGGGGGGTGCCTTCCTTTCAGGAAACCTGAGGGGTCAAGGTGTGATTGTGCTGGGTAGACAGGGAAGGAGCTCCGAGGGGCATAGGAAAGGGTGACTGACATACCAGGTGCCTACTGGGCCCCTGAGGCTAGCATTGTAGTCACTTTTTTTTCTTAGGCCAACAAGTAACCTGAGGTCAGGGGTCCTTTGGAAAGGGGAGCTGAGATGAGACCCCCTACTAGCCCACCTTCTTCCTCCATCAGGGATGCCATTGACAGCTGTGAGAAGGTGCTTTCCTGGGGGAAAACCACACTCCATGGTGGCTAGTTGGAGCTTGTTTGAGCCCACGGATTTGGGGTGTGTGTTGGGTGGAGGTTCCTGAACCTGTAGTGTGGGGTGGGAGCTTGGTCACTGTGGAAATCAAGGTGCAGGCCTGCGAGTCCTGCAGTGTCACTAAATGGTACCTTCTGCTGCTGTGCGGTGTCCTAGGCCAGTTGTAACCTGGGTGTGCCTTGCCTCACTGCCCACAGGGCCCACTGTGGGCTTGGCAGTGGAGCAAGGCAGGACAAGGCTCTCGGGGCCCTGGGAGACCCGCACAGGCTCTGCCCCAGGCATGTCTGCCCCAGTACTGAGTTAGGAAGGTCAGGTCTGCCCCAGCCATATGGGAAGCTACACTTGAGTTTTTGTTTCCGCAGCCTAGAGGTCCTGTTGCAGAGATCTGTGGGGAGCTGGTGGGTTTTAGATCTTCCTGTTTCCACTCTGCTAGGTGGCTATGTTTGGTGATGCCACCTGTGTTTGGGCACTTCCTGCAGGTTAAGCATCCTGACTTAGCAAGGAAAGAGGGAGGATTTCACCAGAGGTTTTTGGCAGAGAGATAAGCAAGCCCCAGCTTGTGTGTTCACGGGAAGCTGGAGGCTCTGTGTGTGGAGGTGGTGGGCAGCGGCTTGGTACAGCAAAGGGCTCATGGCCACAGTCTGCTGAGAGCAGTGAGACCAGTGAGGGGCTCCAGCAGCATTTGAGCAGAGGAGAAACAATATAAGAGGAAAACCAGTTGTGTGAGAGCATCCCCTCTGACTGGAGGTGGGGAGACTAGTTCAAGCAGATGAGCTAGTTGTCACCTGCTGTGTGACCTACAGCAAGGTGGGATGGTGCATGGATGTTTGTGAAGGCTGAAGCTTCCCTGCCAGGTTTCCTCACCACACTCTTCACGATGGAGAAGAGGCCCTGAGAGGTGCACTATGCGGGGGCAGTGGCCCTCACAGGCTGCTCCCTGCCTCCTGTGTCCTCTTGGCAGCCCACCCAGGTCCTGGGCCCTGCTCCTATCTGAATCAGTTTGAGCTGTCACCACATCAGTCTCATTAAGGGGGCCACTTGGAGCAACAGGGTGAAGGGAGATGGTTTGTCTAGGGAACAGTTCTGTCCCAGGGACATTGGCCATATCTGGAGACATTTTCAGTTGTTAACAGCAGGGGAGGGGGCTGCTAAACATCCATCAACATGCAGAATGACCGTAGAATGTTCCAAAATCTGGGGCCCAGGGACTGAGGTTCTGGCACATGTTGCCAGGGGCAGCCTTCTCCCTGTAGGACATCTGAACCCTCAAGGCAACTTGAGTCAGGAAAAACTTTTTAACAGCTTTATTGAGATAGTTCATATTCTTATTGAGATAGTTCACGTTCTTACTTAAACTGTACAGTTGAATGGGTTTTAGTATATTTAGATTTATGTACCATCTCAAACCAGCTGTAGAACATTTCCTCACTCCAGAAAGCAGCCCAGTTAGCAGTCTCTGCCCACTCCTCCACTTAATCCCTCTGCCCCCCACAAACACTATTCTGCTTTCTATCTCTGGATTTGCCTTTTCTGGACATTTAATCTGTGTGGAATCACACAGTATGTGACCTCTTGTGTCTGATTTTTTCCAGTCATAACATTTTTGAGGTTCATGGTGTAACGTATGTCAGTTGTATGAATGTACCACATATGTTTATCTGTTCTTTAGTTTGTTTTAGTAATTTCTCAGGGTTGCACTCCAAGAAGCAGCATTGCCAGGTCTGGTGGTAACTGTGAAACTGTTGGAGCAGCTGCCACCTATTTCTACTGCACCGTACCACTGTAACCCATTTTGCAGATGAAGAAATGGAGTCAGACAGCTGAGGCCCTGTGCTGTTCACCTCTGCCTCACACTGCCCAGGGCCCCAGCTCCCCTCCAGCCAGCCACACTTGCCCTGACTGCACTGAGCCACTGAACTTTAAGGGTAGCAGGGCCAGCTGGGGCAGGCTGCTCACCTCACCTTCCTCCTGGCAGATCAATCAGAACGTGGAGCTCCAGCGGGGCCGCCTTCGGGACGACATCAAAGAATACAAGTTCCGGGAGACCCGCCTGTTGCAGGACTACTCAGAGCTGGAGGAGGAGAACATCAGCCTGCAGAAGCAGGTGTCTGTGCTCAGGCAGAACCAGGTGAGTGTCTGGCTGGGATGGGTGAGTTGTCTCTGGGTCATGGACCTCGCACCACCTCACTTTGCCATTTCACGTGGTCAAAAGACCACACACTGCTATGAACCAGGTGAGTGGTGGCAAGGTGTGGCTCCTCGATGACCATAAATGAGAACAAGGCCTCTGGCTTTAGTGTTGGCTGACATTAGCATGGCCAGTGTGTCCTGGCCAGCAAAAATGGGGGGAAATGCAGGAGCTGGTGAAGAAGTGATAGCAAAAACTCCAGGGGCTCGGTATCCAGCTCAGTCCCCTCTGAGGTGCTGACAGGAAGCCCAAGATACTCCATGCCCTGTGGGACCCTGGAACTGTTGGCATGCTTATCCCTCCTGCTGTCTCAAGTTTGCCAGTCCCCTTTGATTTTTTGTGGTCCTGGACCTTGAGGGGCCCTCTGGGTGAAGCCAGTGGGCCTTCCCTGAGGAGCAGTGTGGAGATGTTCAAGCTGTCAGCTCTTGCTCTTGAGTAATCTCAGCAATGGGTGGGACGAGGAGGGTCACCTTCACTTGTGTCAAGACAACAGGTAGTTTTGGACACTCAGGTCCCTCAATGCCTGTCCCTGTTACCTACCCCTCCACAGGGTAGGTACTAGGGAGACCTTTTTCCCAGTTTAAATTCTGCATAGGGAAGTGTGGACCCATTTGTTTACAGAACCTCTGTGTTTGCAAAAGCCAGCAGAGAATACACTTCTCCCCAAGAATGCAGGTACAGGAGCTGCACGGGAGGCCCACTGTGACACTGTGGGTCACACACAAGGGTCCCGAGGAGAAGGAGACCTCACCCTCAGGCAGCACATGGTAGAGTCAAGCCCCCTCCTAGGAATCCTCCTCCCCCAGCCTGCAACCATCAGAGATGTACTTACTCTGCCTCGGAGTGGCTTGTTCCTTATATTTTCTGCAAATGTTACAGAATAATTAGAATGTTTTGTTAAATTGCACATAGACTGATTCCCCCTATCAAGCACAGGTTTCTGCCTACTTCTTTGTCCATTTGCAAATACAGTTGTAGCAGGATTCTGCCTCTCCTATTCACTTGGGCATCTAGAGGTGGGGGTACTGAGTGGCTATGGCAAATCCCACTTCAGTGGGAACTGTAGTTTCTTTGTTTTGAAATATCCTTGGAATTCATGGTTATAGCACACATTTAGATACATATTTTGTATTAAAATATTTAGTTAACTGTTAATATTAGGTAATTTTGTAGAATTTAAGATCAGTATGCAGTTGGTAACATATTACATCATCTAACAAATTTGCAGTGTGGCTATTTCTGTTCTGGCTTTTGCATTGCTCACACAACATGCACACTTGTTCTGACTGTTAACACCTCATGCTCAGAACCACTACAGCAGCCACGGAGTCAGCACACTGATGTTTCCTCCTGATCACTCAGGCTCAAAAGAGTATCAACCCTTCTTTCTCAGGTGGAGTTTGAGGGCCTCAAGCATGAGATCAAGCGTCTGGAGGAGGAGACCGAGTACCTCAACAGCCAGCTGGAGGATGCCATTCGGCTCAAGGAGATCTCAGAGCGGCAGCTAGAGGAGGCACTGGAGACACTGAAGACGGAAAGGGAACAGAAAAACAGCCTGCGCAAGGAGCTGTCGCACTATATGAACATCAATGACTCCTTGTATACCAGCCACCTGCATGTTTCCCTGGAAGGTCTCAAACTCGATGATGCCGAGACCCTGGCTAATGGCTTTGAGCACAGCTGCCTGGCCAAGCTGCCGCTGGACAGTAAGACCTCCACACCCACCAAAGATGGCCTGGCCCCACCTTGTCCCAGCCTCGTGTCTGACCTCCTCAGTGAGCTCAATCTTTCTGAGATCCAGAAGCTGAAGCAACAGCTAATGCAGGTGAGTGGGTGGGTGTGTGGGTGGGGGTCCACCTCTATTTCTGCCCTCACAACCCACACTTTGTTGATATTACCCACCTTATCTTACATTTGTCTTAAACTCTGTTATATAAGTGGAACCACAGCATTACAGGTAGAAGGAACCCAGAGAAGTGGGTTCCTGTTTATGAGATTGAAGTCTCAGTGCTGCCCAAGGTTTTCTCATATCCCTCTGCATTGTCTACATGCAGTCTTCGTCTCTGTTTTGTGGACATGTCACATCTGGGTTTTGTGTCCCGACTGAATGGAATTCCAGGGTTTGTAATGTGTCCCCTCAGTTTGCATGTCTCTGAGGAGGAACCCACCTGGCCTCCCGAGCCTCTGTGCAGGGGAGGACCAACAGTGGCCCCACCCATTGCACCCCCACCTAGACATGTTACTGAACTCAAGAGGTCTGCCATTTGGGGTGTTCTGTTCAAAAAGATAGTTATATTTACTTATAGCAATTAAAGGAGACAGGATTCATATCCAAAGCTCTGCCTCCCTCCCAGAAGGGAAGCTTAGCTATTGCTTATATGCACTATTTGGTCAATTACACATTGATTTCTTCTTTGCAGACATTTACCCTATTCAATTACTGTCAAGCTCATCCTATTTATAGCGGGTTCTGAAAAATACTGTGCTACATTTTAACATATAGCAACAACAGCATTTAGTAAGAACTACCCAGACCCTGAGACACTTGTCCTAACAGTGTCACAGACTGGCCAACAGGAAGGTGGGTGGGGTCACTGCTGGGACTATCTGGGGGGTCCCTGCAGGCTTTTGACAGGCCCATCTCTGTGCCTTTGCAGGTGGAGAGGGAGAAGGCAGGCCTGCTAGCAACACTGCAGGATGCACAGAAGCAGTTGGAGCAGGCTCGGGGGACCCTGTCAGAGCAGCGTGAGGAGGTAAAACGCCTCACGGAGAGGCTGAGTGCTTTGCAGCACCTGCAGGCTGGCAAGGAGCGGCGCACAGCCCTGGACAGTGAGAAGGAGCACGACAGCCATGAGGATGGTGACTACTATGAGGTGGACATCAATGGGCCTGAGATTCTGGCCTGCAAGTATCACGTGGCTCTGGCAGAGGCTGGTGAGCTCCGGGAGCAGCTGAAGGCCCTACGTAGTGCACATGAAGCCAGCGAGGCTTGGCATGCTGAGGAGAAGGGCCGACATGAGGCAGAGAGCCAGGTGCTTACCGAGAAGGTTTCCCTGCTAGAGAAAGCCAGCTGCCAGGACCGTGAGCTGCTGGCCCGGCTGCAGACAGAGCTGCAGAAAGTCAGTGATGTCGCAGGTGAGACGCAGGGCAGCTTGAATGTGGCCCAGGATGAGCTGGTGACCTTTAGCGAGGAGCTAGCCAGCCTGTACCACCATGTGTGCATGTGCAACAATGAGACACCCACTCGTGTTGTGCTGGACTACTACCGTGAAGGTCCAGCTGGTGCTAGCCACTGCAGTCCTGAAGCATGTGGGCACCACTCACCTGTCCTGCCCAAGGGGCCACTGGCTGCAGAGGGCGGGGCTGGGGACAGCAGCCCCTCGCTGTCCTCACCCCTGAGTGACCCACGTCGGGAGCCCATGAACATCTACAACCTGATTGCCATCATCCGTGACCAAATCAGGCATCTACAGGCAGCTGTGGATCGTACCACAGAGTTGTCACGGCAGCGCCTGGCCTCACAGGAACTGGGCCCTGCCACAGACAAGGACCGGGAGGCACTCATGGAGGAGATCCTCAAGCTCAAGTCTCTGCTCAGCACCAAACGGGAGCAGATCACCACACTGCGTACAGTGCTGAAGGCCAATAAGCAGGTGTGTACTGTGCTTGGGCAGGTGGGAGGTTGATGGGGGTGCCTCACCCTCCTCAGCTTCTCAGGGTCTGCGTCATCACAGGTCAGCTCAAGCCTCAGGCTGTGGATAATGTTGGTCATGCTACTTGGGGTTAAAGCCTCAACTTAGTGTTGTGGGGAGGAGCTGGGTACTGAGGGGCCAGGCAGGTTGCAGTCTTGGCCTGTAATAGGCAGACCCTTCCCCCATTCCTTCTACCCATACGCCCTGTATGTCTTTGACCCCCAGACAGCTGAGGTGGCCCTTGCCAACCTGAAGAGCAAGTACGAGAACGAGAAAGCTATGGTCACTGAGACCATGATGAAACTGCGCAATGAGCTCAAGGCCCTCAAGGAGGACGCAGCTACCTTCTCCTCCCTGCGCGCCATGTTCGCCACCAGGTAACACTGACTTCCTGTCACTGCTCAACTAGTGGCCCAGTAGCTTAGTGCTGGGGAAAGTGCCATTCTTGCTGTTTGTGAAAATCTACAGGATACTGATTGTGTCCACTATATATGTAAGATGAAGCTGAAGGTCCCTAGTGGCCAGTCTGCTGGTGGGCAGGTTACACGAGGTAGATCTTGGGGCCAGTAAGTGACAAATGGGTTTGTCCCCCAGAACTTTGCTGGAAGTTTGTGAATTAAGCAAGGCTTTTCTTAGCACCAACCCTCCTCCCTCTCAGTGTCCCCTGTCTGACCCTGTCAGTCAGAGATTGGGGTAGGAGGAGTAGAAGTGGAGTGGGGGTGGTAGAGGCAAAGCTGCGGGCCTTGAGGGAAGTTCACAGCTTTGTGGTGTTTCTGCCACCCACTGGGGCATGGTGCCATCTGCTGACCTGTTTCAGGCAGGTCCTGGGGAATGGCCTGGACGGCCCCTAGACGGTACAAATGCATTATCAAGGGTGGGGAGGCTGAGGCTCCCCAGGTTAAGTAGGGTTGGAACTGAGCTCAAGGCCTGCTTTTCCTCATGCTGGGTGAGGTGGTGGGTGATCCCCACCTCCTGGAGGGTGAAGGGAAAAACAAAGTTAGTTCCAGGCTTCTCCGAAGCTTCCTCTCCTGGGCAGGGTGCTTGGGAAGGATCTGTTAGTAACCTCAGCACTGGTATGTTGACCCCCACTTCCTCAGCTTGTTTAAAAAACCTGACTTCTCCAATGGAGCTGAGATCACAAATGTTTTCATCTCAGGGCCAGAGCTAAAATTCACTGTTGGCCCTGGGCCCTAGGGAAGGGAGAGTTGTGAGGGGGGGGAAGCCCAATACCCCCCCTGCTCAGGCCCCACTCTGCCCCTCAGGGGACAAAGCCTGAGTGTGCATCTATCTCTCCCCTAGCTCCATATTCAGGTGGGGGGGGGGGTGGTCACATGTCAGTTAAGCAGAAGCCAAAATGGGCTATTCACTACACCCACCTGCACCCTTCCTAAGCTCTGGTTTGCCATTTGGTTCAGATTTACTAAACTCCTGTGTGGATATGCTAACCTGGGAACAAGCAAAGTCCTTTCCTTGGATTTATCCCCATACTCTTGAGAGCCAGGTGATGTCTTGCCTCTAACCAACTGCCGCTGGGTTACCTGAAGGCCTTGCCTCCCTCAGTGAAAACCAGCTTCACAGAATCCCTCCCAGAGAAAGCCAAACTGCTGAGGGGGCAGGGCCTCTTCTTCCAGCCTGATGAGCAGAGGGACTCCACTGAGGTCCTCTCACCAGTGCTCATGTTCCCCACCCGGGTCCTTCAGCCATGCTCTCACCTCTGATGTCCCCACAGGTGTGACGAGTACATCACACAGTTGGATGAGATGCAGCGGCAGCTGGCAGCTGCCGAGGATGAGAAGAAGACACTCAACTCATTGCTGCGCATGGCCATCCAGCAGAAGCTAGCACTGACCCAGCGGTTGGAGCTGCTAGAGCTGGACCATGAGCAGACCCGGCGGGGCCGTGCCAAGGCTACCCCCAAAGTCAAGCCCAGCACCCCTAGTGTAAGTCACGCCTGCGCCTGCGCCAGCGACAGGACCGAGGGCACTGGGCTTACTGCCCAGGTGCTCTGTGGTGAGAAGTATAACATTTGCTGTGATTAGGGCCTCAGGCTGCACACTGCAGCTAACCTATTGCTGCCACCTGTCCGCTTCACCTCAACTAACCCAGCAGCAGCGGGACCGCGGTACTAGGCTGGTCTTAACCATGACTAACGTACAGAGGGAAGGATTTAGTTAAGATGGTGTGCTGCTCCACCTGGACAGTGCAAGCTAGGTGTCTGCTTCTCATCCCTTGGGACCGACCACCTTTCACAGCAGCTGCTCTCTTGGTGGGGTAAGGGTTGGGGGTCATGGTGGGGTTGGAGCCATGACTTATTGAAAAAATGTGGCTTCCCAGGACCTGGGTGTCATCAGCTCTGCTGATGAAACTTGCATGTATCTAAAACAGATGTGCTGCTCCAGCACCCAGGGAGCACTGTTAGAGGTTCTAGCTGGGTTCTAGCTCCTTCATCAGAGGACAGAATTACTTTGTAGTTTGTACACCATTTCACTACAAATTCTGTTTGGGGAAAAGGGTAGAATTTCTCCCCTAAACCCAGAGAAAGAGAAGACCTGAGCTGAGTCCTCCAGCCCAGGCATACCCATGCTCCATGCGTCAGTCACACTTGTGCAGCTCAGTCACGCCTGGCTACGCCCCAAGATCAGAGCTTCAGCTTTTCTTTGAGATTTGCTCACTGGTCTGGTGGCCAGTGAGATGACATTTTAGAAGGCACAAAGCCTGGGGTTTTTCCAATGAGAAAAATCCCAAGTGCCCAACTAGACAGCTATCCTCGGGGGAAGCCTGTCCTTTGTATTTAGGAGTGCCTGGCTTTCAGAGCAAGTTTTTCCACCCTTTTTCCATAATCAAGCCTTCCTCCAAGAGGGGCTTTAGTTCTTAAGCAGCAGCAGTGCTCTGGAAACCCCCAGCTGCAGCTGGAGCCAAGCGCAGTGTGGTGAAGACTTGCCTGGGCCCAGTGTCAGTTGAGGATTCACTGAGGAGGGATGTGGTTCTTCCAAATCGCTGTAATTGCAGGGATGGTGACAGGAAGCAAAGGCAGCTGTGGGGTCCTCCTGTTTCCAGAAACTTCATCCATACCAGAGCTTTGGTACATTTGAAAGCAGGACTTTTCTCAGTATTTATCTCCCTTTTATCCCATGAGGCCCATAGGGTGTGAGGCTATAGTCCTCTCCCTGAAGGGCTGTCAGTGGCCTAGCAAGGAGGTTGCATTGCTCTCTCACATAGGTGTCTACTCCAACACTACTCTGCCCCTTGGTTCCTTAGTGTGTCTCAGTTTTCAGCAGACTCCAGATGCTACACAGACCACCTTGGGTTTTACAGACCACGGGAGTGGAGAGGTATGGGTAGAGCACACATGCATGCCTGCTTCTGGATGCCTGTCCCTGGCTCTGGGTTGCTGTGCTGATAGGATATTGGTCTTGGATCCCCTTCCCACTAGAGAAGGGGTCAGTCCTCCACTTACACCCGTGTAAGCAGGACTTTTGGAGAGTTAGGGTTCTACATTACCACTTCTGTTCCCCTTGCTGAGCCCAGCATGTGGCTTCCCTCTATGTCTTCATGAGGTACTTAGAGCTGGAGGTTCTCCTAACACATGCAGGTCTTTGCTGCTGACTAACACACTCATGCTTTCACAGCTCAGCAAGAACTGTAGTTGCCCGACAGGTGACTGGTTCTAACACTGTCTTGTTTTCTCCCGTTTTCAGCTGTAGATTAGCTGCCAGGAGAACTCAGCCACCGGCCCTGTCACACTGCAGCCCCTCCCCTCCCCTCCCCTCGGCCCACGCAGAGGAAGGAAGGGCAGCCTAAAAGTCCACTTAGAAACATTTTTGGATATGCCACTGCAATTCTTTTCAAAATAGCATTTGTGAGTTTTTAATGGCAGAGGGAAAAAGCTTTGATGTTCAGAAAGCTGGCAGCCACTGCTTGGAAAGGCCTTTGTACAAGCACTTGAAGAACCTGCTGGGACAGCAGCACCAAGCTCACTTAGGAACCCACTAGAATTGCTCACTACTGGGGTCTCCCTATTATAGATACTCCTTTTTCATTTGATCAACCTTTGCACTTTTAATATTTTTGATATTATATTTGCTTCCTTAATTCCTCACAGAGACAGTCTCCAATGTTGTGATCTGTCTTGTTCTGTAGCACCCCGTTCTTAGCTCCTGACATGCTGATTTGACATCAGCATGTGGCACAGATGTGTTCTAGTGTGCAGCTCTAGACTGTTTGATAAAGCCTTTGACCCGGCAAGGAGCTTGGCTAAACATCCATGCTGTGGTTCAGCAGCCTTTTAGATTTTACGGCATTGTAGTTCATGTTTGAAATTAACAGTTTTTAAATGCCATGTTCATTAAGAAATCCAGGGTTTTCTGATTCTGGGGTTTTTCATATTGTATTATTATTATTCTTAGGAATAGTTTGATGTAACAAGAAGAAAACTTGACCTTTGCTCTGGTTAAACAGTTATAGGCACTTGAGAACAAAAAAGATAAATTATTGAATGAGTAGTATTACCTACAAATACCAGAATTTTCTGGGTTTTAAGACGTTGTGAAGCATGACTGATTAACAGAATTTTATACAACTGTACCAATGAAATTCCAAATTGGAATTGTTTTGTTACTCTGGTTGTTGTGCCAAATTGTGGTACACTTAGAAAATTCTACAATTGTCAAATTTTAGGGTGTTCTATTTCAACACCTTTTAGTAATCATTGCCAGTTGTGCCTTCATCAGGTAAGGGAGGTGTCCCAGCATAGTTATTCTCTAAAATGGACAGTGAAGAGCTAGTTGGGAATGTTGAAGGCCAGTGTGGACCAACAGGTGTGAAATGCATAATATATCTTCACACTTGAACCTGGGCATCTTCATTGAGGGAAAGAAAACAGCAATTGTGTAAAATTCTGTTAGTCAGTGATTCTTTACTGTATAGATCCTTGGAAATTCAGGGGCTGAGAAATGGAAGTGAACACAGACCTTGAGTGTGCTTTGGGAACCAAATGGACTTTATGGGACAAGCTAAGCAAGTGGTGTGAGTAACATGCCATGTTTGTGAAGAGCCACTGGGTAGCAGGGGAGCTGTGCTGTCAGCGTCATGCAGTAGGGTGAAAGCTAGCCATAGTACTTTGCAAATATGAGAAAAAGATGTTATATATTCTCTTGCTTGGTGTAACTAATCACTGTTAATTTCAGGAAACAGAACTTGCCAAAACTCCTTAGCAAAAGAGGTCTGTCCAATTTGCTGAGTGAGGTTGTGCAAATGGTCAAATCGATACTCAAGGAGGAAGAACAAGTGTCCTTCCTCTCAAAAATAAAGGACAAATTATAATTAGTAAAAATAAAAGAGTTCTGTTTCCTGGAATAAGCATTTCTTATTCCTAGTTGTAGGGACCCCTATTTTTACTTTCTACTACAGTGTTGATTCATAAGAAATAATGTCACATTTATGATAATTTCATCTATATGGGTATTTATTTGCAATGATGTCTGAGTACTGTATTTTTTTCTATGCATTGCCTAGTGTCAAGAGTATTGTCTTTATTAAGATCATATGCATGTTTTCCTGCTAAGAAACCTTTACACAGACCCACACAAACAAATACACAAAAATGGTTTCAGATTCTGAGAAAATGAGGCAGAGAATGGAAAAGGAATTAGGAGAAGAAATCAGTTGACTTAGGACACAGATATGGCATGAAATGCCTGAAAGCCAGTGCATATAGGAACAGTGGGCCTGGGTGAGGGTCATGTTGGTAGGACCAATAAATAAAGAATGATACAAAGATAAAGCACAAGGCTTATTCTCTCTCATTGCTTTGATCCCCTGCCCTGGATGACTGGGTCTGGCAATGCACTGTAATTCCAGTACCTCAAACAAAACCCGCCTGTTGGGAATCTTGATGGTGGGAGCTGGAGGCAACCTTCAGCACAAATTGGTGGGGAGGGGGAGGTGTGCCTCCTGTAATGAGCATCAGGTGTCCTGAGTACCCAGCACTGTGGCAGTGAGAGCACATTGCCTTCACATTGTCCTGACCAGAAAGCAGAGAGATTTGGACAACACAGGACCCTTTGTTGTCCAAACCCTTGCTCACTGAACCGAGGAATGACTAGTTACAGGCAACAAGTTACTTGTTTGTTATCACAAAACCATATTCATCTGCAGGAATGTGTACAAGGCATGTTGACTCCATCTAATGATTGGTTATGGTTGGTGAGTATAGGGGAAACATCCTGGCTGAGGAAACAGAAAGTCCCTGGGATATTCTGCCACTCCAGGGCAGTCTCTTGCCCTGGCATGTCCCCAGGACCCCTCCCTTCCCCTTGGATTTCCCTTGGCCTCTAGGTCACTACGGGCTCCTTACTCTGATGATCCCTCATCCCTCTTTAGTTAGCAGTGGCCTGAACCTATCTTCAACTTGGAAGTTTCTTTTCAAGAGAGAAAGGTTTTCCTATCCTAACTCTGTAGCTTGAACCTATCTTCAACTTGGAAGTTTCTTTTCAAGAGAGAAAGGTTTTCCTATCCTAACTCTGTAGCTAGAAAAATCTTCCTTCCCTGCTGGCCCATGTTGTTACAACAGAACCCTGGAAGAGGGTGAGACTAGAATCTGCAACAGATCTGGAGGAACCTCTCCCTGCAAAGAGTGGACATTGGCAGTGGGCCAAGTAGGGCAGGACCCTTTCCAGGTGGGGATACCATCTGGCCCTTGGTTCCTACCACCTGTGTGGCGCATTTTGGCCCCGGCCCAGTCCCGTGTGTTGGAGTGTTTGATTTGCACAAGCAAAGATGTGCCAAGACCTTCCCTGTTCCCCCAGTGTGCTCTGGGTCCTTGTACATCTTGCTTTTCACTTCAGGGGTAGAGTGGCAGCCTCCCAAGTGGGGAGCATCTCAGGATGCTGTGCAAGAAGGGGCATATGGTGCTGACAGGAATACTCAATCTTCCCCTCCAACAGGGAATATCTTCATTTCCACCATCTCCTTCACCTTCCTATAGCAGTTTTCACCCCCACCTCTCAGAGCTGGAAACAATAGTGCCATGTTGGAGACCTTTAGGTGAATCATCCGTTTTTGGTAGCTGACTCATCCTTACTGACAATCTTACTCTGCCTCAGTTCTCCCCTATAGGTTGGAGACTGTATTTCTTTGCTATGAGGTTGCTATGAAGCTTCATTAAAACCTAGGTGCCCAGCATGCAGCAAATGCTTAATAGATGAATGTTGCTTATATGATTCTTGCTGCCACCGTCATTATTACCAAGATCTAGGATGCTAGGCTATGGAACTGGGCCTTGGTCCCATGGGGAGTGTGATTTTTAAGTCAGCTTTTTGCCAAAGCATAGTTTGCATTTAGGAAAGTGTGCATACTAATGTACAGACCAGATATGCATACAGGAAACACCTGTGTGACCAAAAAGTCACAAAGTTCCTAGGAGTCCTCCTTGGGACACATTAACAGAATGCCTCTGTCTACTGACCCTGGCGAGGTACTGGGAGAATAGATGTGCTAACATTCTGACATCACCTGGCATGGGATGATTTTGGTAGGAATGGGCTGCCATCAGGTTTGCCTCTGTGCTCAACTTTCAGCTGTGTCAAAAACAGCAGAGATATAAGGTCTACATCTTGTCATTTTTGTCAGGCTTCTTGTGGGCAAGTACACTGGCTCTTGTTAATTCACCTTGGTTCATCTAGGAGCCTACCTTTGTAAGACTGGGTCCATGGGGTGAAGTCCCCCACCCTGTGGTGGAGCTCCGTTCCCTAAGCAGGAAGAGGCAACACCTTATTTACCCTAAATTGTTTGTGAAGCATAGCACACATAATGTAAGAGTGCAAACAACTGTCCACTGGCTGGATTTTTGCAAAATGAACACACTGCAGCCACTATCCAAATGAAAAGCAAATGAGGGCAGCCCCCTCAAAGCCCTCATACTCTCTGCATCCAATCTTCCTCCCAGGGATAACTCAGAGTCTGTCAATTTAGGTAACTTGTACCTATTTCTGTACTTTATATAAATGAGAACAGAAAAGAGAGGCCTAGAGCTTTGGTAGTTTTTACTTCCCAAATCTCATTGATTGTTCACACCATTGTTGAACTGCGCATTTACCAGTGACTCATTAGATTCAATGATATAATATAAATTAATTGAATGTAAAGGCATGGAAAAATATACTCCCCACAAATAGTCAAAACAACAGGAATGATTATGCTAATAGATAAGTGAAAGTTGTTGAGACAAAGGACATTATATAATGATAAGAGTCAATTCACCAAGAAGATATAAAAATTATAAACATTTATGCACTAAGCAATAGAGCCCCAAAATACAACATACAAAACTGCCAGAATTGAAGGGAGAAATAGTTCGACAACAATAGAGACTTTAGTTATAGAACAAGGTAAAATATCAAGAAATAGAATACTTCAATAGGACCCTAACCCAAAATTACTTGAACAGAACTATAAGCCAAGCTTAACAACCAACAACAGCACAGTACATCTTTAATGTGTACAGAATTTTTTCCAGGGTGAACACACATTAAGCCACAAGTCTCAGTACATTAAAGATGACTGAAATTATACAAACATTATTGGCCAATGACAATGGAATAAAGTTAGGAATAATGTAGCAATTCAAAAATATGTGTAAATGATAAGACATACTTGTATTATTTTTTAATCCTTACCTGAGGACATGCTTATTGATTTTAGAGAGGCAGGGAGGGAGAGAGAGAGAGAGAACATTGATTGCCCCTGGTGAGTGCCCCAATTAGAGCCTGAACCTACAACCCTCTGATTTATGAGACAATGGTCCCACCAACTAAGCCATGGGCCAAAACAACACACTCCTTAATCACAGTGGGCCAAGGAAGATAATGAGAGGAAAGACAAATAGCTCTCAAATCAATAATCTAAATTCCCACCTTATGAAACTAGAAAAAGGACAACAAAGTAAGCCCAAAGGAAGGAGAGGAAATGAAATAAAGATAAGGTTAGAGATGATGAAATAGGAAATGGGGGGGATGGTGGAGATCAACAGAACCAAAAGTTATTTCCTTCACAACATGAGCAAAAATGACAAGACCTTTGCACACATGAAGATGTGGCAAAAAATTAGTTCCAGCCAAGATGGAGGCATAGGTAGAGACCCTTTGCTTCCTCACACAACCAAAGGAGGACAACAACCAATCTGAAATTGGTAAACCACCAAAAGCTCCAGAAAATCAAACTGCATGGAACTCCAACAACCAAGGATTAAAGAAAAGATCAACCACAAGAGCCAGAGCAGCCAACCAACTCAGAACAATTCTGAAAACAATGTCCACAACTCAAGGACATTGGGGGCGTGGCTGGCTGCCCAGCTCTGTGGGCTACGCAGGAAGGACTAACTACAGGGGGCTCAGAGGTGGCTGTGGGCTATGGCTAGGGTTGCCGGCAGTAGGAGAAGCTCCCAGTCTCAGGAGAGTCCCTTGAAAAGTACGCTAGAGATAAGCAGGCAAGCCACATCATTCCCTCTCTGGCCACTCCCCCACAGGCAGCAGCACTGCGTAGCAAAGAGGGTTGCCCCATCCCCTTATAACCTATCAGCTGCACCAAGGCAAAGAAATATGGCCCAAATGAAAGAACAGAGTAGAGCCTCAGAAAGAGAGCTTAGCAAGGAGATCGCCAACCTACCTGATGGAGAATTTAAAGCCCTGGTAATCAAAATGCTCACAGATCTGACTGAGCCTGGTCAAAAAAGGAAAACACAAATGAAGGATACCCAAAGTGAAATAAAGCGGAATGTTCAGGGAACCAACAGAGATGGGAAGGAAACCAGGACTCAGAGCAACGATTTGGAACAAAAGGAAAAAATAAACATCCATCCAGATCAAAATGAAGAAACAAGAATTCGAAAAAGTGAAGAGACTTATGAACCTCTGAGACAACCTGAAATGTTCCAATATCTGAATTACAGGGATGCCAAAAGGAGAAAAGGAAGACCAAGAAATTGAAAATTTATTTGAACAAATAAATAATAAAGGAAAACTTTCCCAATCTGGCAAAGGAAACAGACTTCCAGGAAGCCCAGAGAGTCCCAAGGAAGATCGACCCAAAGAAGAACACACCAAGGCACATCATCATTAAGTTACCCAAGATTAAAGACAAGGAATCTTAAAAGCTGCAAGAGAAAGGAAAGAGTTACCTGCAGAGGAGTTCCCAGAGAAATCGGCTATCAGCTGATTTCTCAAAAGAAACCTTGCAAGTAAAGGGGCTGGAAAGAAGTATTGTATTCCAAGTCATGAAAGGCACTGGACCTACATCCAAGATCACTCTATCCAGCAAAGCTTTCATTTAGAAGGGAAGGGCAGATAAAGTGCTTCCCAGATAAGGTCAAGTTAACAGAGTTCATCACCACCAAGCCATTATTATATGAAATGTTGAAGGGACTTATCTAAGAAAAAGAAGATAAAAAATATGAACAGTAAAATTATAGCAAACTCACAACTATCAACAAATTAACCTAAAATAAGAGAGAAACAACAGAAACAAAAACTAAGGAAACAACCAGAACAGGAATAGAATCAGAGAAATAGACATCACATGGAGGGATTTCAGTGGGGAGGGGGAAGGGAGGAATGGGCGAGGGGAGGTACAGGAAAGAAGCAGCAAGTTACTAGGCATGAGTTAGGGAGATATTAAAAATGGTATGGAAAACATAGGACTCAAAGAACTTATATGTACAACCCATGGACATGGACTAAGGTGGGAGGATGCTGGAAGGTTGGGGGGGAGGGCAGAGGGTGGATGGAGGGGGAAAATGGGGAAAACTGTAGTAGCATAATCAATAAAAATATTTTTTAAAGTTGAAGTGAAAATGGGAGAAATTATTACTGAATTTATAGAAATATCAAGGATTATAAGAGTACGGTGAATAATTCTACAGAAAAAAATTGGATAACCTAAATCCAAACTAAGCAAAAAGAAGGAAATAATAAAGATTAGAACAGAGATAAACAAAAGAGAAAATCAAGAAAATTAAAGGGAGTGTCTTAGAAAATTGACAAACCTTTAGCTAGACAAAAAACAGATGACTCAAATTACTGTAACTGGTAATGAGAATGGGGACACTACTAATGGCTTTACATAAATTAAGAGATTAGAATATTATAATGCCAACAAATAGGTGACTTTAATGAAGTAGTAAATCACTAGACTCACGCTACCAAAAGTGACACCAAAGGAAATATATTTTTAAAATCCTCACCCAAGATTATGTTTATTGATTTGAGAGAGAAAGAGAAAGTAGTACCAGTGTGAGAGAGAAACATTGATTGGTTGCCTCCTGCAGGGTGCCCTGGTTGGGGACTGAACCTGCAACCTTCCTGGGGACTGGATGATCTTCCAACCAACTGAGCCACCTAGCCAGGGCCAAAGGATAACCTTAACAGACTTATAACAAGAAATTGAATCAGTAATTTAAAATCTAACAACAGGATTTATGGTTTCTGGTCCAATGTGTAAGGAACTTAGAGCTCATGACTTTATCACAACAATAAGTAAAAAGCAGAACAAACTGAAAAAAAAACAACTCTTCTTGATCCATCATAAATGTGAGGATACAGGGTATACCACTGCCCCCAAAATTGTGGAGACAGATAGGTACAGAGAATTACAACTTTCCTGAACACTTATAACCAGTACCTGGGTAGGAAAACCTAAACTCTAATAGATAAATTGCTGGAGGCTCAGTGCAGACAAGTGTGAAAGCTCCAGGAGCTCTAGTAATGGATGGGAAACCTCCCACTTAAATGAGTTTTACCTCTAGGAGCTCTACCAGGTTCCCACAGTGAAGACTGGAGAAAAATCTTCTCAGGCTCCCAGCAACAGAAGGAAAAAGTGGCCATTTGAAAGACCGTACAGCATTCTGTTCTTAACTAGGTCTATTCTCAAGACAAACTACTTTACCACAGACCAATTTGTGGGAGAAGGAAAATATCTAACTCCAGACTTTTCTGGCCATACTTGACCACCTAAAGTGGTGAAAAGAACAAAAAAGTGTGAAGCATAAGGACACTAAAAACAAGTTAATCACAGTCCCACTGAATGCTTCCCCTCCCCCACCGTACCATTCTATTAACTAAAAGTTCCCTTTCTTTAGTATCATGTCTGGCTCTCAACAAGAATTTAGGCATAATAAAATGAAAGAACTCCCCCTCCCCCAACACACACACTTTGAAGACATAGAGCAAGCATTAGAACCAGACTTAAATATGGCAAGAATGTTACAAGTACCAGGCCAGGAATTTAAAATAACTGATTAATACATCAAGGGCAGTAATGGAAAAGAAAAAGTACCAGTAAGAACACACACAGAAAGACAGAATAATTAAGAAAGAATAAAAAACTGGAAATTAAAAGACGCTCTAAGAAATAAAAGAAGCCTGACCTGGCCAGTGTGGCTCAGTGGATGAGCATCATCCTACAAACCCAAAGGTCATGGTTTTGATTCCTGATCAGGGGACCGGCCTGAGTTGCGGGTTCTGTCCTCAGGGAACGTGCAGGAGGCAGCAGACTGATGTTTCTCTCTCAAAGATGTTTCTCTCCTTTTCTTTATCTCTCCCTTCCTCTGTCTCTAGAGTCAAAGAAAAAGAAATAAATAATTTTTTAAAAACACTAAAAAATGGAAAACAATATCCAAGAACTGTGAGACAACTACAAAAGATATAATAAGACACACAAATGGGAAAACCAGAGGAAAAAAGAACAAAAGAAGAATATTTGAAGGCAGTAGTGACTGAGAATTTCCTAAAATTGTCAGACACCAAGCCACAGATCCAAGAAGCTCAGAGAACACCAAGCAGGATAAATGCCCAAATAAAACTATACACAGGCATATGATATTCAAACTGCAGAAAATGAATCTTGAAGCACTGAGGGGTGGGTGGGTGGGGTGGGGGACAGGACACAAAGGCTTACTTATAGCAAAGCAAAGAATTACATACGACTTCTCAGAAACCAATCAAGCAAGAAGAAAGTGGGTGTGAAATATTTAAACTGGTGAGACCAAAACAAATAAACTAGAATTCTGTATCATATGAAATTATTCTTGAAGGTAAAGAATAAAGACTTGCTCAGGCAAACAAAAATGGAGGGAATTTGTTGCCAGTAGACCTTCCTTGCAATAAATGTTAAAGTTTTTCAGAGAGGAGAAAAGTTATATAGGACAGAAATTCAGATCAACATGAAAGGGCTAATATTGGAGAAGAAATAAAGGTAAAATAAAGACCTTTTATTATTACTTGATCTGACAGATAACTATTCAAAATAATAGATATAATGTGTTTAATAATTACAGATTATGTATAAGTGAAGTGAATGACGACAGTGATACAACAGGAGAATTAAGAATATTTTGTTACAAGTTACTTGCATTACCTGTGAAGTGGTATAGTATTATTTGAGAGTGGACTTGGTTAGCTGTAAATGTATTTTAGAAACTCTAGGGCAACCACTAAAAAAGTTTTTTAAAAAAAGACATAACTGATATGCCAGGAAAGGGAGAACACAAAAATAGGAAGAAAGAACAGGGCAATGATCACTTTAAACATTAGTGGTTTAAATACATCAATTAAGAGACACTGACAGACTGGACCAATAATAAAGACCCAACTATATTATATGTTGTCTCAAAAAAACCCACTTTAAATAAAAGACATATAACTTAAAAGTGAAGGGATGGAGAAAGATACACCATGCTAACACTAATGAAAAGAAAGTGGGTGGTGGCTATATTAATTTCAATTGTAACAAACTTCAGAGCAAGGAAAGTTTTCAGGGATAAAGAGGGGTATTACATAATAATAAAGGGGTTAATTTTCCAAGAAGATATAACAGTCCTTAATGAGTATGCACCCAACAGCAAAGCATATCTGAAAAAGCTGACAGAACTGCAAGGAGAAACAGATGATTTACTATTTCAGTTAGAGACCTGAACAACTTTCTATCAGAAATGGACAGATACAACAGTCAGAAAATCAGCAAGGGCATATCTGATGAACTCAACAGCACTATCAATCAATTGGATATAAATGACAACTGCAGACTATTCAATAACAGAATACAATTCTCAAGCTCACATGAAACACATTTCCCAAGACGGACCACATTCTGGGCCCTAAAATTAACAAACTTAAAAGAATAGAAATCATACAATGTCTGCTCTCAGACCACAGTAGAGCTTAACTAGAAATCAGTAACAGAAGGACAAAATACCCAAGTAGTTGTAGATTAAATAATACACTAATAAATGACATGTGGTTGAAAGAAATAACAGGAATTTTTAAATAATTTGAAGTAAATGAAAATACATCTTACCAAAATTAGCAGTATGCATTAAAGCATTGTTTTGAGGGAAATTTGTACCACTGAGTGTGTATATAGGAAAAACAAAGGATCTAAAACCAATAATCTAAGGTTCCACTTTAGGAGAGTAGAAAAAGAAGAGCACTGTAAGTCCAAAGTAAGGAGAAGGAAAAATAGTAATTAGAGCAGAAGCAATGAAATTGTAAATAAGAAAACGATAAAAAATATTAGGTAAAAGCTGATTGCTTGAAAAGATCAGTAAAACCGATGCTCTAACCAGGCTAAGGAAAAAGAGGATAAATTACTAATGTAAGAAATAAAAGGGGACATCACTACAGTTCTCTGAACATCAGAAGGATAATAGAGGAATACTATAAATAATTACGCCCACAAAATTAGCACTGAGCCGAGATGGGTTCACTGGTAAATTATACCAAACATTTAAGGAACAGATTATACCAATTATTTGTATTCTCTTCCGGAAGACAAAAGCAGGGAGAATACTGATTACTATAAAGCTACAATAATCAAGATGGTGGCGTAAGGGCAAAAACAAAAAAAAAAAAAAACAACAAAAAAACCCCAAACCAACAAAAAACCCCAAACAACAAAAAAATCAATGTATCAATACGGAACTGTACCGTAACCACTGGACATGTACTGGCAAAAAGTGAGTCCAGACGCCGACCTTACCCCCCACCTCCTGGGGAGCCTGGACTGCATCTCCCCGTGGGCTATCTCCAGGCCACCTGGACCTCCACCAGCGGTACGCCGGACTCCTTGCTTTCCGCCCCAAGCAGTCCAAGACGCAAGCGCAGGCTCCTAACTTCTCCCTCACTTCCGGCGCGGAGCTGGTAACGTCACTTCCGTTTTTCAGGACTTTGCGTCCGAAGGAGACACTGTGCCCGCACCAAAAATGGTCATTGGCTTTTTTTTTTTTTTTTTTTTTGTCGCTGTAGTCAATGGAGGAAAAGCGGACTCAAGCCCGGAAGTTGCCCGGTTCAGCAATGGCAGCTGCGGGGGCGTGGCTTCCGGCGGGGAGTGCTAGAGAATCAGGGTTGGCCGGCTCCGGCGTAGGCGGTGGCTGACAGGCGCTCCTCCGAAGACGACGGTGCGGCCGGTGCCCCGGAGGACTGGCGACCCCCAGCTCGCGGTCTTACGAGGCGCGAGGGCCGCACTGGGGGATGGACAAGGGCAAGATGGACGAGAATGAATGGGGATACCACGGCGAAGGCAACAAGAGCCTGGTTGTGGCCCACACGCAGGTAAGCGACAGACGGTCGGCTTGGTCCAGGACCCTCACCTTGCCCCGACTGGTTTCCGAGCCCCCACCCCCCTTCCCTACCCCTCAGTGCAGATCGGTTCCGCGTCCTGTCAGACCACCCCCCATCCCCGGGTCGTTTCCGCGTCCTCCAGTGTCATGCCCAGGTTAGTTCCGCGTCCCCACAGAGTGTCATAGACTTCCCCCGATCAGTTCTGTGTTTCCACAGTGTCACCCTCTCTCTCCCAGTCTGTTCTGTCTCTCCCCCAGGGTTACCCCCCTCTCGCAGAGTGAATGCCGCGTTACCGCAGTGTCACCACCCCTCTGTTCAGTTTCTTGTCCCCCAGGCTTCCACCTTGGCCTCCCGTCTGGTCTCTGGCCTCTCGGACTGCACAGTTGCTGTAGGGCAGAGGTTGCATTGGGAAGTCGCCAGCCTGGATGGAGGGTCCGGGCAGATCTGGAGGAAGGAGTGAAGTGCCCGGGATGCTCAGCACTAAGGGAATTCGGTCTCTGAGATGCCAGAATTGCTGTTCTTCCGCCGCTACTGCTCTTAATAACAATGGAGCATTGCCCATAGGTTGTTTTGAAGAATTGAGTTTCCCTTTCTTAATTCCCCTGTTCTTACTCCTCCCTTTCTTAAGTGAGGATGAGAATTTCAGAAAGTGCTATAAGGACTCCCAGGGAGATGATTCCAGAAAGAGAAGCTTGTGGATTTCTGTGAGGGCCCTGATCTCTTTGACATCCTGTCTGATACAAGTGACAGGAATGTGGTGGGCCGGAGGAGGGGTTAAGAGCATGGGAGTTGAGTCACACAGATCAGGGCAGAATCCCAGTTCTGCCACTGCCTGGCCCAGGTTCCATTTTTGTATCTGCAAAGAGAACTAGTAACAGAACCCCCTTTGTGGAATTGCTAGAAAGATGAGGTGAGCAGGAGCAGGACAAATTATACCTGGCAAGTGAGGTTAGCCCTGACCCAGTTCTAGAGCTCCTGTGGGATGGGGCAGGCCTTGGGTGGTGCCTTGCTGTGCCATTCCAGTGCTGGGTGTGTGGGTCAGGTGTAGGGTAAGTTGCAGTCACCCAGGTGGCCCCTATGTTCCACCTTTGCATATTAGCACAGTCAAGAAACTTAAGAACTGAGACCACAAGCTTTGCTCAAGATCTTTAGATGAATTAGTGATGGACAAGGCTTAACCTGAAACCATTCTTTTCTGTGCAGTCTGATGTTTCGAGGTCTGATGTTCATGCTGGAACATGGAATGTTCCAGCATGAGTCCCCTTTGAAGTTGTTGGGCTGTTGTGGTTGTAAGAAAATTTTCCTACCAAGTGAAAGCACTGAGTAAGAAAGGACTGTGCCCTTTGGGTATGGAAAAGCCTTTGTACTTTGCCTGGGTCATAAGGACCAGGAGAATGAGAGAGTCTTGGAAGATGGCCTTTTAGATCTGTGTTGTGCCCAGGGAGAGGCTGTGTGTGCGAGTGGGATAGAGAGAACATGGAGAAATGAACACAAGGTTTCCTTTGCCTGCAGGTGGACTCCCCAGACCCACCTCCTTTATTCTAAGGTAGAGAGCTGCCTTCACCACTTTTTTTTCCCAGATCAGGACACAGTCACTCTCTTGGAAGGGGCATCATTTACTTTCAAATTGAAAAGTCCATATAAAGTGACTAGTCCATACTCTATACTGTCCAGCTTCAGAACACTGCTTGCCTTCAGGCAGCCAGTCCTGGGGCCTGGCATCTTCACTGAAGGAACATGAGATGAGAGACAGCCTTCGAAGCTGGTGTTATCAGGAGCTTTGAGGAGCATGGGACTTGTAAAATGGAGCCTTGAGATGAAAGAGCTAAGTGCAGGCTGTGGCCTGGGAGTGTGCTCAGGGCTGAGCAGTAGGAAAGAACAGTGCGAGACCCTGACGGCAGACCAGTTTCTGGCAGGTTACTGTCAGCTTCCCCATGGTGCCTTTAGGCTTCCTGTGCCTGTCACCCTCAACCCTGATGCTCAGCACCCTTGGGTCCAGCAATGCAGTTTAACCCTTTCCCAGGCATTGGCCCATAGTCCTGGGGCTGACCTTCTTAGGTCCTCTAAGGCTATGGCCAGCTTGACGTTGTGCCCCAGTGGGTGTCTCTCCAGGCACTGACCTCAAGAAAGGTATTTGGCGAGGGCATTTCCCTTGTGGCAAAGTGAGGGTGCTCTCACTTGTTCTGGTGGCCAAGTCACACTACTGTTCACTCTGAGTGGTGCTTAGTGAAGCCTAGGGCTGCCCTCCTGGGTACTGCTAGGATTTCTGTCTGTGTGGTGTCAATGGCTTTCACATTTGCAGCTTATCCTTCACTTTGTCTTGTTGGCTTGGCTCAGTGTCCTGTCCTATGAAGGTCACTGTAAGTCAGGTTTGTAATTTGATCTCAAGTGTTCTCCAGTGGTGGGAGTTTGCAGGGTCAGGCCAGGCCAAGAGTCATCAACAGGCCTTGAACTGCCCTCCAATTGCCCTCATCTATGGGGTACAGGGCAAACAATGGCTCCTTCCCTTCATCACTCTAGTTGTGACAGATAATATGGAAGACCTGCCAACAAAGATCACTTATCAAAAACATGAAGGAAGCTGCTCACATCTCATCTTTCAGGTTTTATATCCTGTCTACGATTCTTTGGTGTTGGTGTTTCTGATGCGCTATGATGTTTCTCTGGGTCCTGAAGATGTGAGGTTCCGGTAGTCAGGGGCCACCTGACTGTTTCCTTCTTGTCTTGCGTTTTAGGATTTCTGGTTTGTACATCATGTATATGTTTGAAGCAAGTAAGACTTACTGTGTTCTGGGTTTGTTTGCTTTTTTTAAATCATCTTAATTCTTTTAAAATATTTATTTATTTTTAGATAGACAGGAAGGGGAAGAGATAGAGAGGGAGAGAAACATCAATGTGTGGTTGCCTATCACAGGCCCTTAACCAGGGACCTGGCCTGCAACCCAGGTATGTGCCCTGACTGGGAATCGAACCAGCGACCCTTTGGTTCTCAGGCCGGTGCTCAATCCATTGAGCCACACCAGCCAGGGCTATTTTTTTTAAATATGACTTTTACCAAGTCCTGGGACCCTCCCTTCTTTAATTTTCTCCTCAATCTAGTTGAACGAGTCTTTTTGTTGCCTCCAGTATTATTTTAAATAAGTAACTGATTCTGTATTTGAAATTTTTAATATTATCCATACAAGTTGATACAGCCGATGTTTCTTTCTTGGTAAGATCTCCTCGGAGAGCTCTGTGTGTAGTTCCCATCTCTTTATTCCCAGGATCACCTGCAGTTGAATAGCTGGAATTTGTTATTTCCCAGCTGAGTTTCCTTTAGTCATTTCCAGTCTTGGCAAGTGCTGAGCTCTTCCTTCCTAGTTTGCAAGGGTCTGCCTGCTAGGCCTGGTCTAGGTGCCTGGTCAAGGGTGCCATGGGTTCCCCTTCCTCCTCCTTTGTTCGAACTCAGCATAACAGTGGCCCCCTTTTATTAGTAAGGTAAGGAATGTTTCTGTGTCTGCAGGAGAAGGACAAGACTGCAACTCCATATCCCCCATTGCCATATGGTATGTGTTTGTATACCTGCTTCATGGCCCACATGTGGCTTGGGAGGGTGTGGAGCCTTGATAGCTCCTCAAAGATTCACTGTACATTTCAGGCACTTTGGTTTATCTTTACAAATCATCTGTTTCTCCTCTGGTTGTCACATTGTTTATCCCTTCAGGGACCACCCAAGCTTTTCTTCTGCTTCAGCCCAAGGATCCTTCCACATGTCACCTGGACTCACCCCTCCACTGTCCCATCCCCACCTCATGGGTTCTGCCTGCATCTGCTTCAGCTGTGCAGCAGATGTAGGTGCAGATGGGGTTACCAAAGCTTTGAGAAGGAAAGGGTCCTCCCTTCTGGCCTGCATGGGGAACTCCAGGCTTTCCTCTGCGAGACATCTTGTCTAACTCCTTTGTTTTGTCTGAGGCTATCCACCCATCACCATCTCTCACCCCGTATGCCATTCCTTGTGCCACCCCTTGTTTTCCAATCCCACTATGAGCCCTGGGGTGTGTTTCTGGTTGTGTCACCAAATGCAAGTGTCTTGCCCAGGTGTTGTTTCACAGGTGTTCTGATAGACAAGCTAGGCTGGGACCAATGGGTTGACTATAGAAGGCAGCCTTAACGAGAAGCATCCTGAGCCATTTCAGATGTCCAGGGCAGCACCTAAAGTTTGCCATCCCTTCTGCTGTTGTGTTTGTTTCTTTCTCCCTTTCCCTTGAAAGTTGCCTGATCATTGATTCCTTGGAGTCTTCTCAGGGCCCTGTTCTGGGTCGTTTCATCATCCTAATGGAAGATTAGGCCTGTTCTGCAGCAGGGAGGCTGTGAGACTACCAGTGCAGGGGTGTCCGCAGGTCATGGGTGACCTTCTCACTGGTCTTTGCCAGGAGGCCCTGAAGCCTTCAATTCCACCCACAGGTTCCCTCTCTCTGGCTTTAGGTGGGCAGGTATCCCTTTTAATATATTCACTTTCATGGTCTTTTTTTTTTTTTTAATTTAATGCCAGCTATAGTGTCCTCCTTCTGTTCCAGAAAATATAGACTATTAGAAGAAAGTAAAAAAGCACCCAATATTTCCACACTAAGGAAATAATTTTTGTTAACACTCTGGTGTACTTCCTTTCATCATATGATTTCATTGGGTACTTAAGAATACTATGTGTCTATTATTATTTTCTGCTTTTTCACTCTACCTTTCAGCCTAAATATGTAGCAAAGCCTTCACACACATCTCCAGGGCTGTAGAGCACTCAGGCGGCCAGGGTCCCTGATTCATGTGCTGTCAGACATTCCTGAGCTTGTGCTTTTAGAGCTATTTTGAGCCATTTGCCAAGCAAATGACTTGATGGATTCTCAGAGTGGATTAGAAGCACCTCTCTTGGGTACACCCCCACCCCACCACACCTGGGACCCTTGCAGTGCTAAATGCTTTTTGCTGCTTTTTATGGGTAACAAGTTGTACCCTTA